ATTAACTGAACGTAACTGCTCTTCTGCACTCACATAAATAGTGACGGCAAAACCCCAGACCATTTCATCTATCTTTCTGTTGATAGCTATTCTAGGGATTACATGGAATCGACAAGGAAGTTTATCTATCCCTACCTTGTGTTCTAGGAGAAACAGGAATAACTCATATTGTTCAACAGAATTTGAGTACACAAGAGGTATGTAACACACGTTTTTCAGTCACTGATTGCTGTTTTGCGTCTTTGACCTTTTACAAAGGAATAATCCCTACTTACGCGAACAAACATTCTCAGCAAAAAATTAGTTTAAATCAGTAATACTGAAGCATTCGGGAAATGAGCAATTGTGAAATTTCAATGCTATTTCCCGGTCAGCAAGCTAATGAGAAACCCAAAAATACTTTCCCAACGCACATTCAGCATAACTTTTCTCAAGAATCTGTTCTTACCATAGCGCTTCCTTTTCTTACAGATTGCGAAGCTGAAAGAATCAGCTAAGAAGATTTTTGAAGCACAACGAGCTCTTGGCATCTAATTTCATTTTGCCTGCCTCTGGACATGTACTGATGGACTGCAGGTCTGCCGAGTAAGGCAATGTCCAAGTGACTGAATATATTCAAACACAAAAAAATTGTTTTTTAGTCTAAAATAGCTGCAGTTGACGTTACTAGTGGTACAAGGCCTCATTTCAGTGCAATCCTCATTCTCACTTTCTGAATGCTATTTGTTTAAAATTTTACGTATTAAATATATTGTAAATTCGTTTTTCAAAGGGACAAACCGAATTGATAAGGGATGTCTCCTCCGCTTTAGAAATTTCTTATAATACTTTCTTCTAGAAGTTGTTTTTACTAGCTGTGCGTTGCACAGTTTAAATGCCGCTTTTCTAAAATAAAGAAAATCAAAAATCAAATGAAACACTACAGACGGAGATACAAAGTACTGTGTTTTAACCAAACCCCTGAAAATATATTAAATTTTTCCCCCCATAACTACTTCACCGAACTTTACTTGCTGTCTCGTAACAGTTCAATTAATTTTTAGAAGGAACATAATCTTTCACACCAAAAGTGAATTTACTTTGGGTTCAGAGTGTAGTCTCTGTCAGGCCCCTGCAAATTTTCGTCTCTCATGCAGAAGAGTGAATAATTGAAATAATAATGAAAGAAAGACAAGACTTTTGCTAGAAAGAAAGTGCATCCGTTTTGCAAAATTGTAGGAATGATAAGACAGTGTAAAGGCTTGTTAAAATTTGTAATCAAGATGTTTAAAACACAAAAATAATAAATATCTTATTATGTCGACATCACACAGCAACAAGAATCCAGGAATCAGGCTCCTTCTCATCATGAAAACTTACACACTCGGCATTACAAAAAAATCTAAATTGCTCCAGCATCCCCTTCCCTCATTTTTATCAAACAAGCCTAAGTAATGCACATAATCAGTGCTAAAAAGTCTCTTTTATAAGTTTCCTCAGTCTGATGAAAAATGCAACTTGAATCAACGCTTACCTAAGCAACAGCGGCACTCATTGTGACTTGACACGCAAAATAATAAAAGGACAGAATTACACTACATTTAATAGCAGTTGAGAACCCTACCAGCCAGAGAGGATTGCCAAGATTTCAAGAGGAACTCAAGAAAAAATAAACCAGTAAAGGTCTCCGTGAAGAGGCGGTCAATAAAACTCACAAGAAGACGCCATAAGCCGACACACTGCGTTAAGGTTAATACAGAAAACCAGTAGTTAATAAGGACACTTACACGTAAAACACGCAGATCATTAATGCAGACGGCATAAACTGAAAAAAATTTTGCTTTAAAATCCCGAGATATAGAATGGCTTAAAATTTGCCGGCAAAATCGATGGTACTGCTCAAACGAGGTTAAGTAATTTCGGTCGCTGAAACGAAGCAACATTAAGGATTATAACACTGATTTTGCCGCTCGTGTTCTAATTAAACATTCTTGAGCTGTAGAACATATCAACCGTCCATCTTCAGACCACAAATGGCCCGCAGTCATTGCTCGTCCTCCATCTTAAAAAAAATCAAATAATTAAATTCACAAACAGTTAAATGAAGCACCGTTAGACACATAAACAAACAATGGTTCAATGAGGAAAGCTCTTAAAAAAAAAAAAAGCAATAATTCAGAACACGAACCAGCAACCGTTGTCATATTTTCATACAGCATCCACTCATCTGCTCGAAAATCGTGAGTGTGAAGCCACGCCGTGTGGTCCAGCGAGAATACTTGTGATGGCACGAATCCATGGCTGAATTTTTAAAAGCTGTGACTAAGGAAGGACAAGTCTTACATATTTTTTTCGACTATAAGAATAAAAGCTTTAAGACTTTTAAACATTGCTCATAATAAAAGAAAAAATTTAAAACTTATTTTTAAGAGAAGCCTATCCTAAAATCCAAAAACATTTAGGAAAAGATATCTTGAATAGACTTTTAATAGTAATGACTAAAAAAACAAAAACAAAAAATGTATA